GCCTAGTGTCCTCTAAAGTAGACATCTTACATGACTGGGGTGAAATATCAGAACCAGAAGATTGACATCGATACAGTAGTATTAACTAGACTACAGAATATCTGTTTTTTAAAGAGCAGAAATATTTTGAAGTCATAAAAATAATACTTATAAACACAAATAACATGTCTTGATATTGAGTGAGGAGGCTGACAGGAGTGTACATACTCTGAAAGCGTAGCCAGGCGTGATGCTGGATGTGAAACACCACAGGCAGTGCTGAGATTGTGCTCCCGAGCTCCGGGCTGTGCCCTAAGGAGGGGAGGGTGGGGAGTGGAGCAGCCTGCTCTGGGCACAGGAATGTGAAACTCGCTGGCCAGTTCAGTGGGGCTTCAGCTGCACAGTCTGTTCATCCAGAGCCAGGCTTGTGGCCACCAAGAAACCGTCCTCACACCCCCACGACATAGCATGTAAATCAACTTGACTGGAGAAGAGTGTATGTGACAGCTGAAGAAAAATAATAAATTTTTAAATAGACTAATTTTGGAGCAGTTTTAGATTCATAGCAAAATTGAGAGGAAAGTATAGATTCCATGCGCCCTTTTGCTCACACACATGCACAGCCTCCCCTGCTCTCAACATCATTTTTTAAAAAAGATTTTATTTATTTATCTTTAGAGGGCAAGGGAGAAGAGAAGAAGAGAAATATTAATGTATGGTTGCCTCTCATGCGTCCCCTGCTGGGAACTGGCCTGCAACCCAGGCATGTGCCCTGACTGGGAATCAAACCACGATCCTTTGGTTCGAAGGCCTGCGCTCAATCCACTGAGCTACACCAGCTGGGACTCAGCATCATTTTTTTTAAAGGATGAACCTACACTGATACCCATCATCATCACCGAAAGGCCATAGTTTACATTAGGTTCCCTCTTAGCATTGTGCATTCTGTGGATAAATGTATAATGACATGTGTCCACCATTATAGTTTCATACAGAGTAGTTTCACTGCCTCTGTGCTCCACTATCGATCCCTCCTTTCTGCTGTCCCTGGCAACCACTGGTATTTTACTATCTCCATAGTTCCCCCTTTCCCAGAATGTCTTACATTGGAACCATACAGTATGGAACCTTTTCAGACTGACTTCTTTCATTCAGTAATATGCATTTAAGTTTCCTCCTGTCTTTTCATGGCTTGATGGCCATGATAATACTTCATTGTCTGAATGCACCACAGTTTATTCATCCATTCACCTACTACTGAAGGGCATCTTGCTGGGTTCACATTTTGTTGATTATGAGTAAAGCTGCTGTAAACCTTGGTGTGCATGTTTCAAATTGGGTTTTTAATCTGACAGCGTAGTATCGTGTGGATGTCTCTGTCTGTGTTCCATCCACATATGAAGGGCAAACACTTTTCTTTTAAAAAGCTGCCCTCTTCCCTTGCCTTTGGATGGGTGGTGAGGTGAAGGTTTATTTTTGGTCTTTTATTTGGTGTCTCGTCTTATACATGGGATGGTTCACCAGAGCAAATGATGACACTTTGTGTCTAATTAGCAACTCTGTTTGCTCAGAGCCTGCCACACCTTGTTCTTTCTGATTCTGTCACTGAGGAGGTGGGTACTAGCGTGGTTTCATTGTTTCAGTCTGGCTGGCTGGCACCAAATCATGGAAATGGGGTTGCTTTTTGCTGTTTTTATGGCAGCATCGGGAGCAGGGGTAAGAGTCATGGATTGGTCAGCAGAGGGAACCAGACAGAGAGCGGTCATGAAGAAAAACCACTTCCAACATCCATTCTCTGCCTTTTGACCTAGCTAAAGAATTCTCCTCTCTGTTCCGGTGTGACTCTGTGGGTTGGAGCATTGTCCTGTAAACCAAAAGGTGGAGGGTGCAGTTCCCAGTCAAGGCACATGCCTAGCTTGGGGAGCGTACAAGAGGCAAATTGATTGATGTTTCTCTCCCTCCCTTTCCCTCTCTCTAAAATCAATAAGCATGTCCTTGGGTTGGGGGGTGGGGAAGAATTCTCCTCTATCAGTACCTCCATGAGGCACTACCTATACTGTGCAAGAAGCTCCTTCCCTGTGTTTCCTGCCAAACAGTTCAACTGTTCTGGGTCAGAGGAGCTGAATCGGTGTGGTCACCAGCTTCAGGACTCCAACTCAGCAACCCCTGGGGAAGCTTGTCTGCGTCAAGTAGGGGAAAAAAGTTCCTAATTTGCTGTTTCTTGGCCTTTGACCTAGTTCCTTAAACTCTGTAATTTCTAAACTCCCCAATTTCTAAACTCCCCTTTACTCACTTAAAACATGATGGGATTATCTAGACTTAATAGTGCCATGGATAATAGAATCTCCCCTAATACTTAGAGCTGTATTGGCTTTAAAAATATTTTTGTATTAGAGATCTTTTTTTGTACTCTCCACAGCCTTTTCTAAAGGAGTGAGTTGCTGATCACCAGCTAGCTTGGGGACCAGAAAGTTGACAAAACGCCCTAGACAGCTGGGTGAAGGTTGCAGCCATTAGCAGACCTAGGAGAAGAGTTACACAGATGTCTAACCATCAATTCTGAACCAAAATATTTAGTTGCAGTTGGGTTGTTTATAAACGGTTTTACCATGAAGTAATTTTATCTTCGGTAAGGTGCTACCCTAATTTACTTGAGGGCTGAAAGCGTAGCACCAACTCTTGCTGCCCTGCTTATTTGAAAGTTAGTTGCAAGTCCGAATTCATCCTTGCCTCTCCCCCTCCCCCCATGCATTCCCTGATAGCAGAAGTGGGACGGGGATTAAGTGAACTTCCGTTTGCCTGCCCCCCATCAGGTGCAGGAAGTGATGAGGCAGAATGCCTGCTTTGGGGGCAGCAATGGCCGTCTAAGGCGGAACTGGCAGCGGCAGATCAAGTTCGGAGTCTACGTGGCGATGCGAATGCATCGATCGGAGAGTTAAGTCTCCTGCCTCGTGCCCTCAGAGCTGGACCCTGGGCAGACACGTAGTTACGACAGGAGATTAAAGATATGCCTCCGAGTTTCTGGTCCTTGCACGCCCTAAAATGAAACCCAGCACAGTCGTTTGCTTACTTAGAGGGTGGAAGAATGCCGCCTCTTTTCCTTGCCCCGTTTGTAAGTGCATGTGAAAATATCTAGTGGGGAAGTAGCAAGCATGCAGCTACACTGACTGGTTCTTCCCAGGGAGGCAAGTGCACAGACATCTAGGGGCGCAGCCGCTGTCACACACACAGCTGGCCCCCCTTCCTGACTCCAGGGAAACCGGGGGCAGCAACTTCTCCCGGAGGCGCGGGAGGCGAGGGCACTAGCTTGCGAATGCTTTTCTCTGTGAATCTGCGCACTCGTTTATTTCAAGAGTGGAGTGGGACTCGCCCTGGGGTGTTATAGGGTGTCATCTCTGGCATTTGCTCCCATTGCAGAAAAACAAGTCCGATGAAATACACTCGAGTTTCTGAACAGTTGCCGAGGGCCGAAACCCTACAGTCAGCAAAGCTGCTGGAGAGAGAGCGAGCAGCGACTCCGGGAAGGGCTGGGCGAGAAGCGGTGGTAGAGGGGGGAAGCAGCAATACCCGCCTGGTGGTATTGCTCGGCGCTCCCGGCCTCTGGACAGGCGGGAGAGCTGGGAAGAGGGGAGGCCCGGGTGGGGCGGAGCAGGAGCAGCTGCGCCGGCGGCAGCTGTGCCGGCCGCAGGAGATCGGGCACAGTCCCAGCAGAGCCATGCGGGACGTGAGCGACGTGTGGCAGCCTCTGCGCAGGCTATTCCGCTGCAGAATGGGTTTCAGGGAGCGCCGCCTACATCCTTGCAACCACAGCCCAACCCGAGAGTGAGGTATGCACCAATGCAAAGCAGGGTAGCCCTTCTCTACTGATGCATCGCGCACAGCCTTGTAATGCCCCCGTGCTGGTGGCTGTCTCCGAAAGAAAAGCGCTCCAGGTCTTCACAAGCAGCCACAGGCCTGACTACACGACTCTCCAATGTCGCGGGCTGCAAAACTTCAAGGACGAGGGAGGCAAAAAGGACACAATAAACACCCGAAACGGACGAGGAAGAGCTGCAGTAGGGCTGTGCAGGATACCTGTCATGAATTTTAGGGGTTTGCATAATCAAGGTGCAGCTGCCTCCCAACAGTCATTCTGGGGCTTATAGTCGAGTAATCATTTGCAGGTTTATTACGATCTTTTTTTATTTACTCTTCTACTAGGAGAGATAAAGGTATGTTGACAATATTATAAGTGGTGACTATGAAAACCAAGATACTTGGGTCCATTTGGGTGCTGCCCCCGAGGAGTTTCCACCCCCTCCTCATGCACAGCTCTGGTTCCAGGTCTCAGGACTGGGTGTTGGGAGAGCATTACTCAGGACAAGTCAGGGTTTTAAAGGGATTCAGGCGAGTGGGCAGGGTGAGGACGAAGTACCGCGGAGGGCCCTCCTTGGCGTTGGCAGGGCTCATGGTAGGTGAGGCTCACAAGTATTATCAGGAAGAAGCCCTGGCAAGGAGCGAACCAGACAGCTGTGCCCCACGGGCGCTCTCAGCATCCTCCCTCAGAGTCCTCAACTTGACTGTGCCTGACGCTGATTGTGTGTTAAGAATGCAGAATATTGGCGTCCCACTTCCAGAAAAGCCACCGGTAGGATGCGTTTTAACCAGCTTCCCAGGTGATTCAGCTGCGCGGGTCCACGGACCACTGGACAGCCCCACTCCTTTCCTCACGGCACAACTGAGGCGATTAGTCTGGGAAGTTGTGCGGGTAGTCTTTAGGGGATGGTAGGAGGAGGCTCAAGGAGTGAAGGACCTCAGCTAAGGCTAGGTTGGTGTTATCTGCAGGAGCAGGGCACACTACTGACACTGGCCTGCAGGGGGCACCAGCAGGCCGCCTCTTTGCACGCTCTCTGCTTCACCCAGCCACCTCCCCACGTGAAGGGCGGGGAGGGGGGGGGCTGGAACCCAAAGAATGCGTCCCCGCCCCGAGGCTGACGTGTACGTCGCAGCCGGCCGGACTCTTAAAAGCCCAGGCTGAGCTCTGGGTATCTTAGCAGAGCTGAAGAGGAGGCAAGGTGGTGGAGAACGTGGAGGACTCGAGCTGGCGCACGGAGACCGCGGCTGTCATTGCTCTCCGAGCATCCTGGAGGTTTCCCAAGTGGACGAGCCTGGCCTTTCGGAAGCTGCAGGTGCAGCCCCAGAACGGGGGTCTTTCGAAGCGCTCGTGAAGCCTCACATCCTGGGCGAGCGTTCATCATTTAGCACAAAGCACGTTTCCAAAAAGCCGCGCTACGGAAAGTGCCGGGGCCGCGCTCCCTCGCACAACCCCTCTTTTCCTTTGTTTCGGGGGGTCGACACGCCACTCGCCTCCCCAAGTCTGAATTCTTCGCAAGGGGAGGGACGTGGAGTGCAGGCTGTGAAGATGCCCCTGGAGCTGACTCAGAGCCGGGTACAGAAGATCTGGATCCCGGTCGACCACCGTCCCTCGCTGCCTAGATGTGAGTGCAGATGCGCGCGGAGGCCGGGATGCAGGGGAGCGCGCGCCGCGTGGAGAGCAAAGCCTTTGTGAGGCGGGCGCTGGCAGGGCGCTTTTGTGCCGACTCCTCTCCTCCCGCGCGCTGCTGCGGCGCTCGGTGCCTCCCTCCAGAGCTGTTTCTGCCGGCTGGGGCCGGGCGCCTTCCGCGCCTCCCCGGCGCGCTGGGCGGGGTTGACCAAGTGGCTCGGGGCGGGGACGACGCAAGGTCCTGTCGTGTGGATGCGCCTCCCCCGGCCGGCCTCGGCAGCGCGCTGGCCCGGCTCGCTGCACTCAGGTGCTGCGTGGCGCGCGGCGGTGCTTCGCCCCTGGAGCGCCTTGGGGGGGAAGCGCAGGGTACTACAGAGAGTCTTTTGCTTAGGAACGCTAGCGAAGGGATGTCTGCGTGTTCCCCAATTTCGGCCACCTCCCTGGGCGCCCTCTGGGTTGAATCCGGCCAAGGCACACAGCCGCTCGTATGCTCCTCGTCACCTGGGTCACTGCATCTCTGCCTTCCCTCTTCTCTTCTAGGCCCCTCTCTATCTCTATTTCCATCGCCTTTCTGGACCTCTTTATATATTTCTGTCTTCTCTCCGCCTCTCTTTATTTCTGCCTCCTTTCGTTTCTCTGTATTCCATTTCCTGTGTCTCTCCTCTTTTCTCTTATTTCTAATCTCTCTACTACTTCACTTCGTGTTTGTATCTTTTCTCTTTGAACCTTTCTCCTTTTCTCTGATTTCTTCCCCTCTCTGCTCCCACTTCCAGTTCCTGTGCTGGGGGCTACAAGCGATCCTGCTCTGGGACCTGGCAGCGTTTCACTTGTGCGTGCACGCACCTTGCTTGGAATTTGCTGGTATTTCACCAGCCTGCCCCGTCTGTCGTTGGCCATAAATGCTTTGGAAAAATTTACGTTTCTGTCCCTAGGTATGGAGAGAGTCACCTCTTCAAAGGGTAGTTCCAGTGGTTTGAAGGCAACACCAATCCTCCAAGTAACAAGCAGTACAGTATCCTAGTCCATGCCCTGGAGCCCGTCAGGTGGATAAAGTTGAGCCCGGAGGGTGGTGGCTGTTTTGCCCCAGGCCAGGTTAGATTGCCTGAGCGGTAAACCTGAGATCCCAGGCACAAACCCTAAGGGCGGCTTCCAGATATCAGTGGCTCCCTTGGAGTGGGAGGTGGCCTTTCGACCTTCCTTGCTATCAGGTTTTAAAGGGTCGTCATAGCCATGGTGACAGCTCACTCCACTCAACAGCTTGGGCTTTGCTCATGTCTGAATCACTGTCTCCACCCCACGTGCCCCAGGAGGTGGGGAGAGCTGGCCCTGTGGTGCTCCCTGGTCCCACTGCTGATGGGGAGCTAGCAAGGCATTCCTGACACTGAGGGCCACTCCCCCACCACCTTGTCGCCTCTGCTGGACCTGGGTTCTGGGGATGGGGTCACAGAAGCCTTCAGGAGAACTACCTTTGCAAGGTAGTCTGGGGCGTGGCAGGTCTGTTTCTTTTAGATAAGCTCTTTTAAAGAGCTTATAAACTGGGCTGAAAGCACAGTATGCTTTCGCTTCTATAAAACCCATTGGTAGTGAGGAATGCATTGCCCCGAATCCCAAGGGAGGTTGGCCACGGCAAGATGCAGAAACAATCTCGCCCTTTGTGACTTGGAATAAAACATATTTATGGAGCACTCTGTAAACTGTAATTGGTCATACAAATATAGGTTGGTTATATACACACGTAAATGCATGCATTTGTATGTATGTGTACACACATGCATATTTGGCAGTCCCCTGGGGTTCATGGTGGTGGGCTGAGGTTTGGGAGGAATAACGCCGAGGTTCTGCACAAAGGGCACTGAGATTGGCTGCATTCGCTTAGTCGTGTGGTTCTGAGAGACACAAGTGTGCAGTGAAGCTTCCTTCCTCCAGGCATTGGAGACCCATCCATTAGACTCTGTCAGTCTGCACGTCTCACACGCAGATGAGAGATTTGTCTAAAACTCCCTGTCAGAGCCATTCAGAGCTTGGGGGGTGGGAGTGCTAAATGGATTAATTCCCTGCCCCTGCCTGCGTCTGGGATTCTGAGTGTGGTTCTTCGGTATACTCCCAGATGCGTTCTTTCTTAAAAAAAAAATATGTGCAGCCAAAATAGTTACTATGGTATATGCCCTTAACTCAAGTAGCAGTGACTTTCTGGGTTTACATGGCTACATTGATCTCTCATCGGAATAGAGAAAACAGGGTATTCCTTCTTGACCTCTTTCCTGGTCACGCCCCCCACCTTTGTTCTTTAATGGCCTTTGGAGCATTGGATGGATTTTCTTCCTCCCAGACAAACCTGTTACCGTCTTTCTAAGAGGTGTGCTGACTGGGAGTCTACAGCACATTCCTCTGAGGGCATGGGGAATGTTACTCTTCATAGGCAGGGAACAATAAAACGACAGAGAGGCTTAGATGGATTGGCTTGGTGATATTTCTGCTTCTGAAGCACATCCATGGGATGCCCTGTTTGTATAGCCGCATCGTGGTACTAAATGCTTCTTACAAAACCTGCTGCTTCCTTCAAATGCAAACCGTAACTCAGGCCAACTTACTGAATTAGTGAATCACCTTCATCGACAGGGATAGCGATTGCTGACCGGTAAGGCCTGCCTGTCCTTTCTGTTATATCAGTTACAGCGGAGAGCCTCCGCATACAAGTCCCTACTTATTTACCCACTCAGAGCCTCAACTTTCTCATCTGTAAAGTAGGTTAATGCCATCTGCCAAAAGGGTTTTCATCTCGGTAGGGACTAAAAACTTAAAGAAGGAAGAAGGTGGGCGTGCTGTTTAAGAGAAATCCCTCACCTCTCCACAGGTGGCCAGCACAGTTGATTCCTGGCTCTGGCTGTAGGTTAGAATCATTTGGGGGGGGGGGGGGGAACCCATACAGGTACTCCGAACCAAATTAGAATTGCTTCACGGGAAGCCTGGATCCTCTGGTTTTTTAAGAACTTCATAGGTTCAGCCACTGGTGGAGAAAGAGCCCCTGAAGGATTTTGGGTGAGAGAGACTTGGGTGAGCGCCAGCCCCGACCCTCTCAGTACTTGTCCCGTGAGCCCTCACCTCTCTGGTGGGTGTTTGTTTCCTCATCTACTCGGAGTGCTGAAGACCAGAAAGGCTGGTGCTGATATAGGCTACCGTAGAAGGCATTTCGCCTGTATAATGGTGTAGTTAATGCTTCCAAGAAACTGTTTGAAGCATCCCTCCATTTCACCAAAAAAGAAACTGAGACAGAGATCAAGTCGCTTGTTCAAGGTCCACGGAAGCCATGGAAACTGGCTTTGAACTCTGTTTATTGACTCCAGGCCCCGCCCTCTCAGCCACTACTGTGCTATTGTATCATCTCTCAAGGTTGTCAAATGATTAATTAAAAAGCCCTGTCCCTCGATGTCCTGGCAGAGACCATGTCTGGTTGGGAAGCCCATTCATTGGATAAAGATCAGTTAAGCATGTGTTAAAATGTGTACTCGAAGTAATAAATGAATATGGTATTCTCCAAATAGTACGGAAGAGCCAAGCACTGGCTTGGCTGGGTTCTCCCCACCCCTTTAAAGCCTCAGGCACACCCCCCTATGGCAAGCTCACTTAGATAACAGTTCTTAACATCAACTAGGCAGACTCTTTGGGTTGATGCGATCCCACGAGAGGGTTTATGTCCAGTAGACAATAGTTAAGTGTTCACTATCACTTTTTGAGCCTGTGTTTCATTCTCCCAGGTCCAAGTGCATGCAGCCAGTTACCCAAGGGATCCTTCTTGGGTGTAACTGCAGGGTGACAGCAGGTCTTTTTGTCGTGTTTGGTGTGCCCTTGCCAGGTGGGAGTAGGCTTCAGTGGTTACTGTAGACATGTGGCAGTCAAAATGGCATTAGGCAGTGCTGGGGCTGAGCCCATCTGCGTGTGTCTGTCCCCCTCTGTTTGTTCCCCGTGGGGCTTCTCATTGAAGCAATAACTTTCCTGCTTGTAGAAAAGAACACAAATGACTGGGCATCTTTTCGGGGTTAGCATTTCTGGGTCGAAGAAAGCTTGTAGGAGGGATGGGAGCAACAGCAGAGTGTCTTCCAAGAATTTGTTTTCCGAGCCCGGGTTGTGGGGGTCAGCACGGTGGGTGAGGACAGCTGCTGAGTGCCCGCTGGTGTCAGTGGCGTGCACACTGCCAGAGAAGTCAGCAGCCCGACCTGGGCTGGGGGCTGGGATTGGAATTGCAGCCTCTGCCCTTCTGGCTAACCTTTTCCAGGATTGGCTGCCCAGGTCACTGTAGGTGCTGTTGCCTGCACTCACCAATTGGCCTCCTGGTTATCCTTTGCTCCCTGTATCCATTTATGTGTATGGAACTAGCCCACGCAGCCAGGGTGCATGACATACTAGGAAAATGGTACGCCTGGCTGTGCCTACCCAGTTGTAACTCACCCCACGGCCATGGCCCAGCCCAACGCCAGCACTCTCTGAAGGGTGTCTGCTGTGCTCTCTTAGTGTTTGTTACTCTCTGAAATGCCTTTGGGCCTTTGTTTGTGTGGCATCTGTTCCCCACGGCGGACTAGATGCTTCTCGGCCCAGGGAGGGTGTCCATGTATGCTTTGTGCTCATAAGGCACCTGGCACATGTGTCCTTGAGTGAATGTGGTGACATTGGAGAGTTGAGGTTGAGCTTCCAAAACTTGGTGCCTTTCTATGAGCTCTTACTAAAGTGACAGCCTTACCCACAGGTGACACCGTGCACCTGAGCACCAGCCCCCCAACTGCAATCAAGGTGTGTGTAGTCTGTCCCCCAGTGGTCTCTACACGGTTGCTTCTCTGGCCCTTTACCCAGGGAACACCTGCAGTCCCCACATGCACATTAACGTTGACACCTCAGTCGATGTCTCCGTACATCTATGTATAAAAACTTCTTTGTCAAGAAGAAATTAAAATATCAAACATTTGTGTAAGAGAAAATGAAGCACGAGTACTTTTTGGAAAATCCTGTGTTAAGATCCCATCCTGCTGTTCCCTGGTCTCTGTGCTATTGGGGAATAAAAAAAGGCAGAGTTCCAGGGAGGCCGGTATGAGGGGTGGGAAGGGGCTCTCTTTCCCAGGGGTTAAAAAATGGGGGTGTTGCAGAGAAGAAGAAACCAAGGGTCTGGCAGGAACTGAGGCAGAGGCAGGTGATTGTAGGACCACAAAGGTGCTTGAGATGTGCTGCGACTTTAAAAAAGGAGGAACAGGGATGAAGGAGACTAAGCCCCAAAGGTTGGTCAAAAGGTTTGTGGTTTTCCTGCTCATTGTGAGACCCAAGAGCAGCTGGGCCCAGGGACAGCTGCCCCCACCTTGGGCAGTCCGCCCTTCAGCTCCTTTGGATCTTATGCAAGAAGCCCAAGGAGTAGGAAGAATGGTTTCTGCTTTGCCAAATAAGGGACTGATGGTTTATTTGGATTTGCCATTCAACCTGATTTGTCAGCTTCTGCCATGTCTTTTGTGTGTGTGTGTATGTTTTTCTTTCCTGCCAAAGCCTCTACTGCCAGAGGAGAGTTGGAGGTTTCTGCACATGATTAGTGGATAATAGTAGAATTAATCCTCAATTTGATAAATCAGTCAGTCTCGGTCTCCACTTCCTTGGCATGAGTCCAACAGAAGCATCCCATGCATGTGCACAGCTCAGAGCTAGAGTGTGTGTGTGTGTGTGTGTGTGTGTGTGTGTGTGTGTGTGTGTGTGTGTCCATCTGTCCCTGGGCGTGTTTGGGTGCTCTTGGGAGCAGCAGCATGGTGGGGACATAAGGTAGGACTAGGGAAAAAACTAATGGCTTGGGGGAAGAACTGGTAGAGTATTGTTCTGGAGCACACGTGAGAACTCATGTGCCACCTGCAGCCGCCACAGTGCATGCAGCAGTGTGTGCCCATGTCCTCACTGGTTTTCGGGGATCCCATCATCTTTCTCTGCTTGCCCCTCGGGGCTCCAGGAAGCCCACTGGCACATCTTTGCTGCACTCTTGTGCTCACACTAGGCACTTGTTTGTTCCTGGCTGTTGGAATCTGAGGAATCCTAGTGGAGAGCTTTTGTGGCTCCTGAAAATGCCCTGGCCTCTTGATGGCCCTTCCTCCTCCTCCTCCTCCTCCTCCTCCTCCTCACTGTGCATGGAGGTCACTGGTGGCCTAAAACCAAGAAGGAAGTAGCCCCTGTGCATTGTGCCTGCTCCCTCCTTGCCCCTAGCCTACAGGTCCAGGGGTAGGTCCTAGAATAGCATGGTGGGCATTTGGACACCTGATGTCAGTTTGGTCACCAGGCCAAGAATGGGACTGTGTGGGGGCACAACCAACTTAAGAGGAGGTGTCTTCCTTCTAGCCTGTGCCTGTTAGTGGCCCAGTGGCTTCCCCTCCTCCCCCATGTGGCATTTGCCTGTTAGAAAGAGACCGAGCACTTGCCTAAGTCTGGTGGCTGCCTAGATTTGGGGTGCAGCCTGAACAGCTTTGTCCGCACCCTTGTGGCCAGTGCCTGGGAAACTATGCTGTGTGGCTATGAGGCGCGCTGGGCTGACTGTGGAAGCCAGTGATCGCAGGGCAGCGCTGCTGGGCTGGGAGTGGTCAGACGGCCCCGCCTCCTGCTTTCAACGGGCAGCTCCTGGCCCACGCGCGCTCATCATCACCAAGATGCTGGGGATGCCTGAGTCTCAGGGGCAAGATTCCTGTCAAGGAAATACTGTGCATTAAATGTCCAGAATAGGGCTGTCTGGGCTGCTTGCTTAAAACATGAAAAACCTCTCTCCCTGGTGTTTTTTTGTTTGAAATTCTGAAGACCATGGAACGGTAGTAGTCAAGCAGTGAAGCCAGAAGGAGATTCACAGGGCAAGACCTCCTGGGTTTCCTGGGGCTCTGCCTGGGTGGGGCTTGGTGACCTGGAGCATCTGGGACCCTGTCGTCTGCCATTTCTTCAGCAGGGCCCTGACATCGACCAGAACTTAGCAGAAAAGGGCAGGAGAGTTTCAGAGACAGAGGGATTTATCCGGCACCCTTAATGGGGGCGGGGGCCGCATTCTGGGTCCCTGACCTACTTCCATTTGATGAACTCTTCATTTTTAAAATTGTCTTCTTTAGACAAAAACTTTTAGGACAGTCAGCCAGTCCTACTGTGTGGAGGTTGGGAAATTGATGATTGGCTTCTCTGTTTTGGCTGTGGAGGCCCTGCTGTCACCTCAATTTATATATCGCGTTTGGAAATATTTCTCCTACTGTGAATCTCATCCTACTTAGTTTTTGGGGGGTCGCTCATCCTTACATGCCCAGAATGTCTTCCACTCTGGGGTTAGTAATGGGGTTCCTGGCTGGCTTTAGGGCCCTGCAGTGTCCTGCTGGGAATTAGGGTCCCAGTCATTCTTCACCTGAAAAGCAAGATAGATGGAGCCGCAAGGTGTGGTGAAAGGCTCTGGCCACCGGGAGGCGCTAGTCCTGCCAGATTGTGTATGTCCAGGGCTTTCCTCTTGAAATGAAATAGGAATGTCTAAGTTTGTTGTGGGGTACAGGGCTTTGTCTCCAACACTGCTTCATCCATGGCACCTTTCTTTGTTTCTCTTCCAGCCTGTGGGCCGAAGCTGACCAACTCCCCGACAGTGATCGTCATGGTGGGCCTCCCAGCCCGGGGCAAGACCTACATCTCCAAGAAGCTGACTCGCTACCTCAACTGGATTGGCGTCCCCACGAAAGGTGAGTGCTCGTCTGCAGACTGGTGGTCACACTGTGCACTGCAGTCCTGCTCACCCACCTGCTCCCCCATGTCCAGCTGCGGGGACTCACCTTGCCGGTCCACTCCTGGCCTGGTCTGACCCTGTGGTAGGGCTGGGGGCTCTTTCTGCTGTGTCACCCCTGCACTGTTGACTCTGTGTGGGGATCTTTTTCTCACTGGCCGCCCTGGATCCTTCATAGCTCAGCCCTCGCCCCCTTCAGAAGCCTCTCTAGCCACTGCAGTCTATGCTGACCTTTTCCTTTAAAGTCCCAAGGCACTTAGTTGTGACATTCCTCCACTGACTGTCATGAAGTGCCGCATGCCAGGTAACTGTATTTCGTTGAGTCCTTGCGTGGTGTTCTCTACTACAGAAAGTGTCGGAGGACAGGGATTTATTTTTACATTTGCTGTCCTCCAGCATGGTGCCTTACACAGTAAGTGCCCAGTAAACACTCGGTGTTTCCCCTGGGCGCCGGCCGCTACGTCAGCAGAAGAGTGGCTCCAGGCCTGGCCGTGCTCCTGGCATAGTCAACAAACATCCCCACCCCCTGCCCCCCACCCCCGTTTTCACTGGCTGTGTGGCTGCCACCTGTTCTCACAGTCTCGACCTCCAGTCCCTGACCTTGTGAGTCTGGACTGGACGCCGGGCAGCAGGAGACGACCTGCAGGAAAACAGGTGGCTCCGAGCCACAGTCAGTCTGGGGGAAGCAGCTGCCTTCTAGGTCAGCGAAAGCCCTGGGCCAGGGGGTCCACTTTCTGCCTTCCACCCTACTGATCTCATTCAGGGGGGTGCGCATGTGTGTACTGGCTTGCTTTCCTTTGCTTGGAGAGTATTCCCAGCGGCGAGCGGCCCCTTCTTCCTGGGGGCCGGCTAAGCGTCCTCTCTTTTCTGCCCGCAGTGTTCAACGTCGGGGAGTACCGCCGGGAGGCCGTGAAGCAGTACAGCTCCTACAACTTCTTCCGCCCTGACAACGAGGAGGCCATGAGAGTCCGAAAGTAAGGCCCCGGCTGCTGCAGGCGGCCTTGGGCTTGGCTTGGCTTTGGAAAGCCAGGTTCTGTAAGAGGAAGAGGAAGGAGGCCTGCGGTGGCTCCTCTCAGGTGGCCATCTGCTCCGGCCCCACCTGCGTGGGCGTCGGGAGGCGTTTCCTGGCCTCTCTGGGGCTTGTTGCTTTTATCTGCTCCAGATGGTCCCGTTCGGCTGATGCATACAGATCAACAACAATGTTTCACTATTCAGAGTGAACAAAATTGTTTTCATGGGAAATCAGCTGTTTACACTGAAAAGGATTTTTTTAAGCCCAAATTTAAGCCCATGAAATCCAAGTGCAATGGCTTCACTGGCTACATTTGAGATTCGCCTGGGAGTTTGGAAAGATCCTGATGCCAGGCCTACCCCAGACCAGTTTAGGGAGAATCTCCGGGCAAGACCTTGGTCAAGGGTTCTTAAAAGCTCCCAGGGGGGGTCTCACTGTGCAGCAGGCCTGTGCGCCACCCCCACCAGAGGCAAACGGCGGCCCTCTGCGCAGGCTCTGACGGGGAGCCCCTGGCTCGTGGGGCCCGGGCCCGGCCAGCCTGAGGGGGTTCGAGGTAGAATCTCCAGTCACTGTGCTCTGCTGGGCCAGCTCTGATGCGAGCGCTCTCTCTCTCTCTCTGTGTTGCAGGCAGTGTGCCCTTGCTGCCTTGAGAGATGTCAAAAGTTACCTGACGAAGGAAGGGGGCCAAATTTCAGTAAGTCTGGGGAACCCTCTGGCTCTGTCTCCAGTCCTGTAGTGGGATGGTGCCTTGGAGAGGGTGAACTGTGGACACTGGCCAGAGCAGTACTGAGGGCCTCTGTGGGGACACCTCAGATGGGGACAGATGCCTCTGCCCTGAGAGCTGAGGGAAGCGGGTAGCTAGAGCAGCACAGGAGCCCGAGAAGGCAGTCGGCGGGATGGGCTTGGGCACAGCAGCTGCTGGGCTCTGCTCGCTCAGCCCTCCTTTGTGTGCTCAGCACCGCCCTGCAAAGCAGGCGGGACCTGGGGTGGCCGCAGCCACGGAGCCAGTGTCCCTTCCCCTGCATGTCACTGTCGTTCGTTTGCTTTAAGGACTGTTCCCACCCCTCTCTGTCCCTCCCTGAAAGCTGGAGGTGGTGGGAGAGGGCAGGGTGGTGAGGGCTGTGGGCAGGGAGCAGTTTGTACTAGAACCTCAGTACAGACCTAGAAGTGACAGGCTGACCTGCTCGGTGACTTGGGAAAACTGTGAAACTCAGACTTGGGTTCTCTCCACTATCCTCGTTTCTCCTCAGGTTTTTGATGCCACCAATACTACTAGAGAGAGGAGACACATGATCCTTCACTTTGCCAAAGAAAATGATTTCAAGGTGAGCCAAACCTCTTGTCTTGCCCTCAAGTGCTCAGGAGGAAGGAAGACCCTCAGGAATCAGCTGATTGACACTTGGTGCTTCAGCTCCCGCTGTCCTGATTTTGCTGTGTACGGATGGGCCCTTCCTGGGGCTGGCTCTGGAGGGTACCGGGACTGGGGAGGGGGAGGCCTCTCTGCTGGGGAAGGACTGGGATTGAGCAAGGGGTTCATTTTTTGTTTTGAGGATTTGTGAGCAGTGTCATTCCTCCTCAGATGTGGTGGTGACATCACAGTGATAGCAACCTTGGCCCTTTGTGTGACCACAGGTATTGTTCCCTAAGGCTCCTGTCCCTCTTCTCCCCAGGTGTTTTTCATCGAGTCGGTGTGCGACGACCCTACAGTTGTGGCCTCTAACATTATGGTAAGACAACGTAGGACCACCGCCCTGGTAGCTCCATCTGAGAAAAGCAGGGACTCGGAGACCAGGCCCGGCCCAGGGGGAGGAACCAGACTCGGAGAACAAGCTGGCTCCCTCCGCTCATCGTTGATTTCTGTCGGAGAAGGGGGGTCTGGGGAGGTCAGAAGTGGAGAGTGGTATTTAGCTAGAAGCATGTTTTGTGCGCTGGCCCGGCTGTATCCAGGGTCCTTTCAGACAGTCAGCAGAAAGCATTGTCTGTGGGACAGGAGAGGGAAGGCAGGGTTTGGGAAGAGTTTCTCTGGGTGGCACAGTTTCTGATGGGCGGCTTAGGGCCAGGGGCAGCTTCCCTTCCACCGGGGAAAGCAGGCAACAGGCTCTTTACTATTAAGAGCCCTAGCAGATCAGGATAGGACTGGGCAGACTAAAGACAGAATCAAGTCGGACAAGCGCAGGGGCGGTCGGCTGTCTTCCTGCCTGTGTGTCTGAGCAGAGCCTCCCCCTCTCCCTGTGCCGCGGCGGGGGTGCTGCCTGAGGAGTTGAGGGTGGTTGGCAGCTTCATTTGATTCTTAATTGTATCACTTGATAGCAATATATCACCAATAGAAATGTTACCGTGAAGACTTTACCACAAGCCACCTTCTCGTGTTGTAGATATTTCCCTATCCCGCTTCAGTACATCAGAATAAGACATAGCTGTAAAGAGAAGCAGGTTTGCTATGTCGACAGGAAGCACGGTGGTGTTGCCGCATGGAAGTGCGCCTCTTTCAAAGGGCGCTGGGTGCTCATTAGCTTCTGATACTGGGCCTCTTCTCCAAGGCAGTGGGAATATTTGCAGGCGTTTCTAAGAAATGAGTTCATATTTTAGGAAAGGCTATTCAGATCGTGGAAAACCAGTCCGGCGGAAGAGGCTCAAAGGAGGAGGAAACAAGTCATTGTAATCTCAACAAAGGGCTCTGCTGTTTTTCTTTGGTTTGTTTCTGCTGGTTCCACTTGGTGGTAAAGGACAGAGCAGCTGCAGAGTCACTTTTCCCCAGCGAGTGGTCGCCACAGGACGTGGCCAGGAGTCCCTTTCCCCGCCCCTCCGAGTTCAGAAGCCTCTTTCTCTGATTAAGCCGCAGAGCGACTTTGCCGCGCAGGCCTTTCCGCTCTTCTCTCCGTGTGGGTGGCTGTGTTAAGGAGAAGAGATTTGCTCCCAAGTGTTCAGTTCCATTGTTCTTGCTCGGTCTCGTGACTGTGCAGCCACCAACGCCATCCAGCTCTAGTACTTTTTCTCTTCCCAGACTGAAGCTCTGTGCTATGAATCACCAGCTCCCCCTTGCATTTGGATTTTGAAAGAGTAGCTGCCTCTCTTTTAGGTCCGTGCTAGTTGTGGTGGAGGAAAAGGACACATGCATTAAGAAATTCAGAGTTTCCCTGAAGTCCGCCAGGTTGCTCAGACCTGTTGTTCATTTAGAAGAGATGGCAGGCCCCAGAGTCTGTTCTCCATCTTCCTCCCATAAGAACAAACGTTGGAAGGGATCCAGGTAGAAAAATGTTCATCAAGGACCAGTTGCTGTGTATTCTGCCCCGTCTGTGGGTAGTGGAGGAAGAAGCCTGCGTGACAACACGGGCCTGGGCCGTCGCCAGCGACTCCCTAGTGCAGCTCTGCTAACAGACAGCCTCCTCCGCTCTGGGTGCGGGGAACGTTGGGGACGCTCACACGGAGCCCAGCTGGGTTGAGGGCTGGGACGTCTGGGGCTGACACGAGCACTGGATCGATCCCAAGTCCTGGGGCTTCCGAGGTGTTCATTAGACGTCTCGTGGGTCTCCTGCTCTGTCCTCCCAGACGGTGATCCCTCGTCTGCCCTGCCGCTCTGCCCGCTTAATCACTGGGTCCGGCCTCGACACCAGCACGTCTCTCTTTTCTCTTAAACACCGGGTCGGATCATCATCACTCTGAGTCTGTTTGTGCTTTCCAGTGTGTCAGCCCCAAATCCTGCCTCAGCTAAGCAGAAAGCCGCTGGCGTGATTCATCAGCTGCCTCTTTGTGGTGTTACAGGAAGTGAAAATCTCCAGCCCAGACTACAAAGACTGCAACTCAGCAGAGGCGATGGACGACTTCATGAAGAGAATTAGCTGCTACGAAGCCAGCTATCAGCCCCTCGACCCCGACAAATGTGATAGGTAATTCTTAAGGGGTGATCGGCTCTGAATCACTTACTTTGGGGCTTTTAATGTTTTCTGAAGTTCCCACAATGCAGTTGCTCCTGGACATTTTCAGATACTCTCTTGTAAAGTGTCTTTTAGCCCTGGCCAGTGTGGCTCAGTTGGTTGGAGTGTTGTCCTGTAAACCAAAAGGCTACTTGTCTGGTTCCTGATCGGGGCGCACGCCCAGGTTGCGGGTTTGGTCCCCAGGCAGGGCGCGTGAGAGAGGCCTCTGATGGATATTTCACTCTCACACTGATGTCTGTCTCCCTCTCTCTCTCCCTTCCTTCCCCTCTTTCTAAAACCAATAAGTCTGTATGTCCTTGGGTGAAGATCAGAAGTGTGTGTGTATATATATGCATATATCTGTAAAAAAATCCTTGATTACATGTTCATTGTAATAATTTCAGACACTATGTAGAAATGTGGAAAGTGAGTATTTGAGCCCAGTCTCGCTGTGGTCCCTCTGGTATCACCTTTATTTTCTTCCATTCTGTTGCTTTTCTCTCCCCCTTTTCTGGGAGGCGAGTTGGCCTCTTGACCACACACTGCTGTGTGAGTTACACACTCATATTCACACTCTGACTCTCAGATGAAAGAGATTCAGTCCTTGCCCTCAAGGAGCGTGGGCCAGCACTGTGGCTCTTTTGGGGCCGAGCTCTGCCGTTGGCCACGCCGGGGGGACCTGACCCCAGCTGGCCGTGCCGCGCTGGCAAGAGGAGGGTTCTGATCACCTGTCGCCCTTCTGTGCAGGGACCTGTCCCTGATCAAGGTGATCGACGTGGGCCGGCGGTTCTTGGTGAACAGAGTTCAGGACCACATCCAGAGCCGAATCGTGTACTACCTGATGAACATCCACGTGCAGCCCCGCACCATCTACCTGTGCCGGCACGGCGAGAGCGAGCACAACCTCCAGGGGAAGATCGGGGGGGACTCGGGCCTGTCCAGCAGGGGCAGGAAGGTAGGAGGGGAGCGGGGGGAAGGCAGGGGACTAAGGATGGGGTGTGTGTACACCCCTCTGTATATGTGTATATGCATGTGTCTGTGTGGGCGTGTCTATATGTGTCTATGCCTCTGTCTACATTCGTGTTCCTGTCCCTCTGTGCATGTCTGTGTCTGGGTAACCCTGCATGTGTGTGTTTCTGTGTGTCTCTGTGCATCTGTGTGTGTCCCTGTGGGTGGGCCTGTGTTCGTGTGGACAGAAGGGAGTGTCTCCGGGACTGTGAGGAGGGTGTGGGAGTAGCTTTTCAGTTGTTCGGTCTCCTCCTCACCATTCGAATGACAGCAGGGTGACCGTCCCCAGTGTGGAGCAGGCCTGGGGGCCTGGAGTCCAGTGTGTGTCCCTTCTGTCCCGTGCCCTCTCAGTTTGCCAACGCCCTGAGCAAATTCGTGGAGGAGCAGAACCTAAAGGACCTCAAGGTGTGGACCAGCCAGCTGAAGAGTACCATCCAGACGGCAGAAGCCCTCCAGCTTCCCTACGAACAGTGGAAGGCGCTCAACGAAATCGATGCTGTGAGTCCCGGGCCTGGCTGTGGCTGTGCAGGGTGGGAGCACGGAAGCCTCATCCAGCCGAGTCTGCTGGAAATCCTGAGAGCCCTTCTATACCTGTACTGTGTTGACCAATTCGAGCTGGCCCTTGAGGCGTGTTCTCTTAAGTGACCTTTGGTGTTTTCTCCAGGGTGTCTGTGAGGAGATGACCTACGAGGAGATAAAGGACACCTACCCTGAGGAGTACGCTCTGCGTGAGCAGGACAAGTACTACTACCGGTACCCCACGGGGGAGGTAGGTGTGCTGGTGCTGCTCCCCCTTCCACCTACGGTCCATTGTCCGTTTGGCGGAGTATGCTCAGCTGTGGCAGCTGTGTGCTGTGCGTGGGGAAGCACGTGATGATCCTTCAGCGGCCAGGGTGTCGGGCTAGGCCCGGAGAGGGCTGCTGGGCACCTAGGTGGACAGGTACTAGCAACGGATTACGCACAGTGAGCCCCGTACTTGTTCTGATGCTTGTTCTTGGCCTTTCACCTTCGAAATGGTTCTTCCTAAGCTGAACCTTATGACCAGCTCCAAGAGCAGTATAGTTGTATTTTCCTATGGGCAACAGTGAGAGATGTGTTTCTCTAACAACACACAGGACAGTGTGAGAGAGGACGACAATCATGGGTAGTTATCACTCATTGCAAGGGTTCTCCCTGTGGCTGCGTGGGAGATGGCAGACATGTCATCTCAAGCCAGTCATGCTGACTGAGTTGACACTGATGGAGGGCGTTTTCAAAAGCCGTTTACAACTCGCTTTGGCTGAGCAAGTAGCTGCTTGGAGCCCTGGACAGAGAGTCTGGAACGCATGTGGTACCCTGGGGTCCCCCGCAGGCCTTGGCATGGTAACACTGATTGGGAATCCTTCCCGTCTGTGGCCTGTCACATCTCTGTTCCCCCATAGCCCAAGAGGATGTCCTTTTATATCACCCTGGCTCTTGTTCCCTGGGACCTGGTTAGTAAGAGAAGTAAGGGGAACAGCAGAGAGACCATTGTAAATCGGACCTTGGTACTCTTAAAAATCATAGGCTTACCCCTTCTTTTTCAACTTTTATTGACGTACAATTTACATAATACAAAATTCACTGTTTTAGCCATCTTAAAGTATATAATCCAGTGGTTTTCAGTATATTCACGGTACCATGCAACCATTACCACTAATTCTAGAACATCCCATCAATCCCAAAAGAAACCCCAACCTGTTAGCTGTCAATCCCAATTCTCCCTCATCCGCCAACCACAGATCTGCTTTCTGTGGAGTTGCCTGTTGTGGACATTTCACATAAATGGAATTGTACCACATGGGGGCTGCTGTGTCATGCTCGTCATTTAATTTAACATTGTCAAAGCTCATCACGTTGCTCCGTACCAGGACTTCCTTTCCTCACCCTCTCCTGCAGAAGGTGAGGGGAGGGAGGGACAGTGAGAGGGAGGACGCAGGCTGTGTCCTCTCGGGATTGCCCCTCCGCATCCTGACCAACACTGACGACTCCCGTTCGGAGGAGGGAGACTCCCGTTCGGAGGGAGCCAGTCGAGGTGGCTTCCCCAGTGCCCACCGGGGCTGTGGCTCTCTCCCACCACTGAGTGATTGATTGTGTGTTCTCTAGTTTCTTACGAGGGGTGGCCGGGGTGGCAGGCTGCCACAACACAGACCCGTCCCCTCTCCCTCTGTCCTGCAGTCCTACCAGGATCTGGTGCAGCGCCTGGAGCCCGTGATCATGGAGCTGGAGCGGCAGGAGAACGTGCTGGTCGTCTGCCACCAGGCCGTCCTGCGATGCCTGTTGGCCTACTTCCTGGATAAGAGCGCAGGTGCCTCCTTCCCCGCAGACTCTCTGGGTGGGGTGGGATTGGGAGCCAGTTGTGGTCCCTGAGAGGAGGGAGGGAAGCCGGCCTCCGAGTTTGGGTCGCTTCAGATCTCATCCTCCTGACCCAGTGCACACACGTGGTCTGTTCCACTTGGGCCCTTAGGCCCCGCCCTTCCTTGTCAATCCCTGTGAGACCCTGCAGCACAGCAGGGGGCATGGTGGGCCCGCAGCTCCATGAGACAGCCTCCTGAAAGCCCTCGTCCACTCACACCTCGGGGGCTTTGGGAGGGACAGCTCTTCTCTTCAGCCCACCTCTGGGGAACAACTGCCCCGAAACCTCAAACTTAAAATTTGAGTCTGAGTCTGCGTGAGGTTCAGCTGAAGCTCAACGCACCTAAGTTGTTTGGGGAATGACTTTCTTTATAACTGTAACTTGTTGTATGAGAGAGGGTTTGGGGTTTGTTTTGATTTTGTTGTCTGGGCTAGGTGTTTTCTCGAGGGCTACCTGCCTCGAGTGAGGGTGGGGGGCCAGGGGAGACAGCCCTGCCCGGCCAGGCCTCCGAGGTGCCAACCTGGCAGTTCTCTTACTGGAGGCCTCGCAGTGTCCATCCTTGAGTCTCCTATCGAATCATGGAGCTGTTTCTCTGTTTTTTCAGAGGAGATGCCTTACCTGAAATGCCCGCTTCACACCGTCCTGAAACTGACTCCAGTCGCTTATGGTGAGTGTGGTGACACAGCCTGGGCTGCGTGTGACCTTCCCCTTGGGATAGTGGCTCTGGTGGCTGTGGGGCTGTAAGCGGCCCGCCCCCTCTAACCGGGATCTGCTCTCTCCCCACCCCCCGCCCAGGTTGCCGTGTGGAATCCATCTACCTGAATGTGGAGTCAGTGAACACTCACCGGGAGAGGTCAGAGGTGAGTGGAGGTCTCATGCCTCTGGCCCGTCAGCACCCCCTCCTGTGCTCCACCCCGAGGACCAGTGCGTGGGAACTCTTGGGAGGTGCCCAGTACGGTGTTGCCTGTGAATGCTGACGTGTGTCTTCCAGTGGGTTCTCCCTGAGGTAGTTTGCTGGGACTCCGCCGGCCTGGGTGTTTCTCCCCTGCCTTCCCTCAGCGTCTGTGTGCTCCTGCCCTGTCTCTTGTGGCTTCTTGGTGTCTTCTTTTTTTCTCTTTCCATGCTTTCTTCCCCGTTTCTACTTGACCTGAGAAGTGAGCATGGAAGAAGAAGACACATTCTGATCTTAAATGGAACCACAGCACAAATATTGTTGCCTCTTCCTTTGGAGCGCCTAAAACTGCTTTCGAGTTGCAGAGTTACAGGTTGAAACAGGATCAGCAAATCTGCTCAGTCATCTCTGTGCACTTAAGTACAGAATTACCAAGAAGTGATAATCATGCAAAAGGAAGTGGAACTGGAGAAACATATGATTTGGAAATTAGAGGCGAGAGGGTTGGTGGGTGGAAAGTTTTTCAGGAGACCCCAGGGCCTGGTGGCATTGGATTTCCCCCTGGAGGTCTGAGACTTGGGCGGTCAGCCTGGCGGGCTCTCCCAAGGGCACAGCCGATTTCCACCCAGGCGGATGTTGTGGAAGAAAGTTGAAATGTACTTAGTACCGACTGGAAATGCGTGCTTTGCCAGCATCAGTCCGACGCTTCCGCATGTACCGAGTATGATGTTCCCATTGGTGCAGGGGACTTTCCTGTTTCATGGGAGCTTGGCCAGAAGATTTTGGCATTAAAGTCCTGGCTTCCACCAGCAGTTGCCTGGCTGGTTGACTGAGACACAAGAGGATGGCGTCCCTTGGCTCTGTGACGCCCCCTTCTGAATGTGGGTGGTTGGAGGGTGCTGCATTTCCTGGGGTTCTGAGAGGAGCAGCCTCCCAGCCTGACCCCCAGCAGCGGGGTTCAGCTGAACTGGACTCTGATGGTTCCTGAACACTATTGTGCAGGATTGGGTCAGGGTCTCGGTGGAGACAGGCTCTAACTCAGGCTCCTGGGTCATGAGCTACAGTGACAGGCCATGGGGATCACTACAGTCGCTTTGGCACTTGGTCAGAAGACTAGTGTTTGGCCATTTTTGCCTCCCTTGGGTCTTCTGCGTCTTCAGTCCCCTGGCTGGCTTTGAAACCTGCCTTTCTGGTCCAGAGCCAGGGCAGGGCATAGTTACTGGATGCAGAAGCCGTTCCACATCTGCTCTGCAGATTCTGGCTCATGGGCAGCTTGCAGGGGTCCAGAATGGACGCCCCCCCTGCCCTCCTGCCATCCTGTCCCCTTAGTGGCTACCTGAGCCTCATGCCCAGGCCTCTCTCCCCTCTGCTCTCGTTCTCGAAGGATGGCATCAAGGTTCTTTTCTCCCGCCTTGGTATGTCCTGTAATTGAGTGACTGTGCAGAACTGGTCCTGCTGTTCTTCTGTCACCTGCTTTGTGACTGTGTCGCGTTTATCTTGGTGGGTGTCTCAGGATGACCCGGAAAGGGGCTTGGGAGGAGATGGTCCTGTCATCTTGTCGACTGGGAGATGTGAGACACAGAGGCAACGCTGTGGCCCCAGGGACAGCCACCTTGGTCCAGCTCGTTGTGTCAGTAAAATCCAGAAGCAGAGCAATATGTTGTATTTGGTTTGGATTTTTTTCTTGTTTGTGCTTTTTCACTTTCCCTCTCCACATAACTGTCGCCTTCTCTCTTTTGTCTTTGTCTTGCTTAGGACGCAAAGAAGGGACCTAACCCACTCATGAGACGCAATAGTGTCACCCCACTAGCCAGCCCCGAGCCCACCAAAAAGCCTCGCATCAACAGCTTTGAGGAGCATGCGGCCCCTGCCTCCGCTGCCCTGCCCAACTGCCTGCCCCCGGAGGTGCCCGCACAGCTGCCCGGACAAGTGCGTTACCCCCCCTCCCCTCCCTGCAGTGTGTCCCCTGACCAGGCGGGTGGTGGAGCGAGAAAGCGTGGGCGCAGCCTCGGAAGTTTGTGGCACCCTGGAAGTCCGCAGGCAGGTCCTCCCCGACCGTGGCCGTGAGTGCGCACACCTGCTCTCTGAGGAGGCGACCTTCGCTGGGCAGCGCCGGGCAGAGCAGAAGAGGTGGCAAAGTGTCTGTGTCCCGTCCACATTCGTGAATAGGTCTTTCTCGAGAGAAGTTGAAGGCAGCCCCTAGTTGGGAAGTCGGTCTCCATGCAGCTCTGGGCTGTTTGTTGGCTTCTGTGTGGCCCGAGGGTGTCTTTTCTGTCCCAGGCCCGTGGCTGCGTAGTTTTCCTTCCTTTCTTGCCGTGGCTCCTTCTCGCAGAAGTACTGGAGTCGAAGGGGCCCCGTGGAGAGTGTCCTCACCCAGGGCCTGCGTGGCCTGGGGAGAGCCAGGCAGCCCGCCCTGCCAAGCTGGGTGGTCTGGAAATAGCCACTTCCTCACGTAGTGTAGCTTGTTTAGCAGATAGTAAAAAACAAACAAACAAACAAGCAAGCAAAAAACTGAAAACCAATTAAAATTCACTTCATTCACTATGAAGATTAAAGGCCCAAAGATCTTGGCTCTTGGGCATTAAGATTTGTTTTTACGAAACCATTTTTTTTTCTTCAATGACAGCCAAGAATCTGTGGGACATAGAAAACTCTGGGCACAAGTTTGGGTCCCACTGAGGGGTATCCCCCCACCTCCACCCACCAGGCCTGGTCTCTTACAGATAAGGCACAGCTAAGTTTTGCATTGGATTTGTTTACAAGCTCCATGTTGAGGCCCGCAAACTCTTTCCACATTTCTCCTGAAGCCCATTTAAACCCTGTGGTGTCCGGAAATGTGATGTGGGGGCAGGTGCTGGGCAGCCTTGGGCAGGCCTCAGTCTTCCCCGTCGGTGGGATGGGGAGGAGCACCTGCTGCTGGAGCAGGTCGCAGAGGGAGTCGGTGCTGGGTGTGAGCACAGTGGTGTCTGTCCCCCCCACCCAGCGGCGCCGGCTGTGGGATTTTATTGTCAGGCTGCCTCCCTCCCGAACCTTCAGTCTCCTTATCTTTTAAAAGGAGGGGTAGGATTTGGAGATGACTACTTAATACTCCTTTCAGGGCTGAGAACTGAAGTTCCGCGTGGTGTGTCTGTGACACTGTTTTGGTGTAAACTGTGGGGCCCTAGTTGGAAGTTGAGAGGCCACCATCAGTGACATTTGGGGGTTCCAGCCTGGGTTGAGTTCAGGGGGAGGTGGGGCTGCACTGTCCTGGGTCACAGAGGACGCATGGCGGCGGGGCCTTTCCAGCACTCTGACAGGACAGTCCTCTGGGGTCGCCCAGCTGAACCCTCAGGCAGCCTGGAAGCCGCGCCGGGCTGGGAGGGTCCCAGCAGAGGGTGTTCTGATTCCGTGTGACTTGGCCCTCATACCCCATCCCTCTACTGACCTCTCTCTCTCCACCTTTTCTCTCTGCAGCCTTTGCTAGGGAAAGCCTGTTTGTAAGTATTTTTCTCTAGATAATTTTGCTGCTAGCACCTCCTTCTCCTTGCTTTCCAGTTTGCCCTCCTGCCTGTTAACGTGTTGAGGATAACGACAGTTTTTGTGGCATCTGAAGGAGGAAGAGGGGCACAGCAGGAGGGAGAAGGGGATTCATGAGTTATTAGCAAAGGACACAAGAAGTAATTGTGGCCCATGTGTTTTCTCTGTGTCCTGATGCTGCCAAGGCTACAGCTGGCTCCTCCTCGCTCCCTCTCAGGGTCCTGGGTTGCTGTTACTATTAATCTCATTTGTCCCTCTAGCCTCAGATTTTGGTGGTCAGCTAGGTGTTACCCTGGCTGCCATTGTGTTTTAAGTTCTGTGTCTCCCCTGGAGAGCCTTTTTGTTCTGAGAGGAAAATTTACCCAGAGTCTATAATCTACAAAACAGAGAGACCCTGCAGTCTCTCCCTCTTGTCCTGGCAGGGACCCCCACTCTGGAAACTGTTGCTCTGGATCAGGTTGTCCTGCATGGGAACCTGCTCTGCCTTAATGGCCATGTTCAGGATTGGGCGCAGCTTCCAAATCAGACCTGCTTGGTTTCCCCTTCCCTCTAGCCAGAGCTCTGTGCAGAAAGTTCTGGTTAAGTTTTGGCCAGAGCGTTTCCATTGCCCTGGCAGTTCTGTATCGCAGTCACAGTAACAACCACCATGAAATATTACCCTCCCCAGCCACTCACATCTCACGGATGAGGAGAGGGCTTGAGAGTTCAGCCTGATAAGCCTTAAAAGCTTGGCTTGTTCTGGGAAAACAGTTGTTTGGCATCGAGCTTAGATTAGATGGCTGCACCTGTAGTGAAATGTATTTCGTCATGCTCTACATACAGCTCACGGAAAACGCGCTTGCTCAGGTCTCCTATCTTTGATCCTTAAAATAACCCCAGGACATTTGCAGGGCAGATGCTATTCCCGTTTACCAGATGAGGGCTGAGGTTAAGTCACTTGCCGTGGACATCCTGCCAGTCAAATGGGAGAGCCCCGACTTAACCAGGCCCCCCAGTCCTGAAGGTTGGCTGCTTTCTCTGGGCTGGTTTTTGGGAACAGCCAAGATACTACTGTTCACCTGCCCCTGTCCCGGGCACCCGACACTTGCAGCCTGTGGGGCTGCCCAGAGCTGTTTGATTTACGTTTGCCTCTTGCAGCCTCTCCCTGCAGCAGCTTCCCGAGGCTGAGGTGTGTTTATTTAATGTGGGCATAGTAACAGCCCTATGGATCTGTGCATTTCCTGTTCCTTTTTGACCCAGGGTCTGCTGTTGCCAGGGAAGAAATCTTCCTGCTGGGGAGGGAGGCATTTTCTGTGGTCTCAGCACCCAGCGGAGCCCAGGAAAACGAGCCCATGTCTGGGGTGCAGATCCCAAAATGTATTATTAAAGTCACACTGAGCTGGGTTTGGATCTTGGCTCTACTCTCCTTGGAACTCTGGGCAAGGTAGTGCAGTTCTAGGATGCCAACTCCCTTGTCCGTAAAATGGAGATAAGAACGTTACAAGGTGCTTTGATAATGCAGCACTGACAGAATCTCTGGCACGTAGTCAGTGCCCGGTGGCCGGTAGCCGTTCTCAAGGGAGAAACTGTGCCCTGTGCTTTGGTGGGTGTGTCCCCGGCTCTGGTTCGCACTCCGCTCTGCATTTCCATGCCCTCCTGTTCCTTCCACACAGGCCAGTGGGCTTTCTTATGAGGGGCAGGAGCACCAAGAGAATGGGAAGTGGGGGAGCCCTTGGGATTGTGGCTTAAGGATGCCAGTGAGGGTGGTTTCCTGGTGAAGTGGGAGAGACAGCCTCGCCAGATGTGGTGCCCTGCAGTCCCTTCCCCAGGGCTCTGTCAGTGCGTGGGGCCAACCATTCACCATGCACCCTGGATTTTGAAATTTCAAATGCACACTAAGGACAAAACACTACTAAAGATGTTTTGTTTTTCTTTTCCAACATGTTTCTTCCTTTGCCCACACTATGCTTGAAAGACGAACTGTCTGTCACATTTTCTCAAAGTTTTCTCCTTACTAACCTTGGAAAGGTAAATGGTTTGGTGCATGCCCCTCTGTGCCCTCTGCATCTCTGAGTCATGGCATCTCTGCCCGGCAGGGCGTCTCGTTCTGTGTGAAGACTGCCCATTGTAAAGTATGTGACTCATACACCTCGTGCCAGAGAACTTGTGATTTTTAAGAGCAGCACCATTGTCTTGAGGCCCCCTATCTTGCTTCCTCCTTTCCCTCCGTGCATCCTGAGCCAGGGACACCATGAGTGAATGGTTTGACATAGCCTGTGCCTGCAACCCCCAGTGTCATTGTCTCATTGCTGTCCTGTGTGGGCGCTCGGAGCCTTGGGCTTGCCATGTACGAGGGTGGGTTGGAGCTAGCTGGGCAGGGGGACCTCACTCTGATCCCATAAGCCAGCCGGGTCCTCTCTGGTTGCAAAGTGACAGGGCCTTCCCCAGAGCATGCCCCCAGCCCCAGAGGCTATATGACATGCTTGTGGTTGGAGGGTTGGGTCACCTGGGCTGCTGAGTCTGGCTGAGAGCAGGCTCAGATCTGGGCTTCGGTGCCGCCAGCCCAGGGGTTCTCTCCTGTACGGATTTCTGCACCAGGGCCCGTGGTTCTGCATGGGCAGGGGAGGGAGGGGCCGAGGTGATCTTTTCATATCTGTTTGCCTGGGTCCCATTTGCTCCCTGGACCCGTTTGAGACAGTCTTACTGTAGACTCTTAGGATGGGAGAGAACACTTTTTGAAAAGCGGCTCCCTTTTTTGCAGGTAAATTGAGGAGGTTAGGTAAAGGGACTGCGGCTGTGTGGTGGCAGCCATCCTCTGTCCCCAGCTGGCTGAGAAAACATTTTTTAAGTGGGTGAGGCTCTGGCTAGGATTGCTCTGACTAGAACGGGAAGAGAGCTGTAGGGACAGGAGAGTCCTTATGCTTCTTTGGGGGTCCCCAGCACATCTTCTGCCTGGCGTGCCCAGCAAGACTTCCCTGGACTCTCAAGGGTTGTGAGCTGAGGGTCTCTTAGGTGCTGACCCCATTGCTCCCCAGAACAGCTCTGACCTACAGAGCTGCCTGCTGTCTGCCCCCCCATCCTTCCTGCCTCCTGCAGGCAGATGTCAGGCCTCTGTCACAGGCCCTTCTCCCATGCGTCACAGGCCCTTCTCCCATGCAGCTCTGGCCTGTTCTCCACGTGCTCCTGGGGCCTCCCTGGGCAACTGCCAACAGTTTGGTTAATATGCTCTTTTGGGTTGTGTTTTTTGTCCGGGGAGAGGGAAGGTGAAATCTCAATTGCATGGCTTTAGTCTTTTGCTTTAGAAACCTAGGCTACAGTAATAATAATGCCCCTTCTCCACTCTCGTTTCTCCTGAAAACAGAACGTGAACGGCTCGCAGGGCAGCGCCAACTCCTCCGGGACGCACTGAGGCAGACCCGCTGGTTCGTTCCATTTCCTTTCCTGCAGCTTAGGTAGGGGCTCTTCCATCCGCCTGAGGCCAGCGGTTCCAAGGACTTCTCCCAGAACGGAGCGGGGTGGCATAGAAGAGGGGTCTGCCGGTCAGAGTGAACCCGTGCCCCCCACAGCATTGGGGTGGCCGCGACCCCAGCATGCCTTTCCCGCGTGTGCCCAGAGTCCATGCTTCCGCGTGCAGCCGCAGCCACCCGCACCCCAGCCCTCTCTCCGCTGTCCAGGGCTGAGTGTCTCACTGACTCTCCACAAGGCTGGGTGAGGACGGTGAGCTGTGGAGGAGGTGAGAGAAGGCCGTGAGGAGGGGCTGTCGGACACCTCTGTGCTGTTTTATTTTGTTTCACTTTTGTGACTGTGGCCTGGAATGTTCTCAGCTGGGGAGGTGACACTGGTCCCAGAATCCTGAAATTAAAGGGGCCTAAATCCCAGCTGCTGGAGGTTCAGGGATGTCGAAAACTTTCACAAGGCTTGTTCGTGCATCTTGGCCTGGGTCGTTGACTTGGGAAGAAAGGACGCGTGCTGGAATGGGGCTGGCCAGGAGAGCCGGTCTGGAGGTGCAGACAGAAGCCCCTGAGCTGGACTTGCTGGTCAGCTGAGCAGTGGCCCTCCGCATGTCCACACACCTTCCCAGGTCTGTGCTTGGCCTCTGAAGATGCTGAAGGACCATCTGACTGTCAGCAAGAGGAAATAGCACCACGGCCTCACCCTCCGGTGGAGCTATGTGGTCCCTCCACTCTCAGGCCTAGATCAGAGGCCCCTGAGAGGTGGCTCTCCTGGGGCTGCTTGCTTTTGCACCATTTTTTCTGGCAGAACATGTGACCTGAAAGTCACACCTTCTCTTCAGGAACTTAGATGTTTGGGTTTTGTGCCCTGCGGGCTCGAGTGTGAAAGAAAGTGGGGAGTTGGGCCTTGCCCACAAGATGAGAGACTCAAAGGGATTCCAGGGGTGCTGGCTGGAACCTGCTCTCAGATCGGTGGGAGGACAGCTCTGGGAGACAGGGAGACAGCGTGGAGGAGAACAAAGATCCGGCCTCCTTCCTTCAGGACGTCCCTCACCTCCCTAATTTGCCAGATGGGGACAGCGGCCCTCACTCTAGGCCACTTCCTCCAAGAGGCTGTTCATGGTGTCCCTGGAGTGAGCTGTCGTACACTTTCACAGAGCACCTGCCGTGTGCCTGGCATGGTGTTAGGTTCCTTGGGGAACGTCCTCTCCGTTCAAAGTAAGGGTTTGGGGACACGTGATGATGCTCAGCACCTGTAGTTTCTACCTGCTGGTTTCTCCTTGTTGCCTCCAGGTCCTGGGGGAGGAAAGGGGTGTCCTGAGGCCCAGAAGAAACAATTTGGAGATCCAGCATTTGTCCAAATAACGCTTTGAGAATCTTTCTAAAAGCTGGTGCCAAAGGTCTCTTTCCTGTCTGCCCTCTGCTTTCGAGCCTCACATCCTTGCCCCTCTCAGCCCTTGAAACAGCTGAGAGTGGGCGGGGCAGGCTTGGACAGTGGAGCTGGAAGTGGAGAGAACAGCTATTTTTGTTTCTGAGCGGAGCTCCTCGAGAATGTACATTTCTCTGGTTGGGATTATGTGGGAAATGGAACACGCTTCAGATACCCTACAATCAAGTTGGAGGTTTTCACACCAAATCACTCAATCCCTACCCCCCTGCTTGTCAGTCTGCCTGAGAGGGGGTCTGTATGTACAGTCTGTGCCACCGAAGACCTGGGTTATTTTCCCTGTTTCCCGCTGTCTTGAGTCTAGTGGACTCAAGTATATGTGTGTAGGTTGGTCATATATTTAGACACAGGGGCCTGCAGTTCTGCTCTTGACAATGACCTGATTGTGTCCCACCTTCTGGACTTCTCTCTCTGGAGAAGCTCTAACTTCTCTCTCTGGGTGTCAGCGCTAACTCTGATTCTTGACTCCCACCAGACGGTTTGAGTGGGGCCGTGTGAAGGTGCTTCTCTCCCCCTGCCATCTGAAGTCACTACAGACTTACATGGAGCCTTGCCTACCACGGGACATGGTTTGCAAGGGCTGAGGTGGGGAGGTGGACACAAACGGATGGGGAGGGGGACCTCGGAGGGTGGGATGCTGCTGAGGTGAAAGCCGGTGGTCTGACCCAAGGAGGCGTTGGATGGAGTTGCAGTCATGAACCAGTGTTTTGCCTCTGACCCTCCGCCCCTGAAAAATATCTGGGACCAATGTTTTTAACTTTGCATCTTCGTTTTGGGGTGGGCGTAACCCTCTCTGTCCTTTTTCTGTCCTGAGACCGTGGATGATATTCTTTGTGTAGGGGGAGGAGACAAACTGTTTGAACCACACCAATGATGATTTCGTTTGTGATACTTGAAATTTATTTTTTTATTATTTTGATAGCATATGTGCTATTTATTTATTTAATGTGTATAAGGGAACCTGAAAACAGAAAGCTTTTTAGACTGGGTTTATTGTTCCTTGGTTGGTGTGGGGCCTTCTTTGTGTGACCTACAACTTCTCTGCATTCTGTATATCTGGATTAATTACCTGGGATGAAGCTGTACCAGCTTTCAGACAGGGGCTGCCTTTCAGAAATTTGTATATTTTGCAGTTGCCAGAACAATAAAATACCTGATTGAAATACACCGAAGTGCACCTCTGGTCCTTTCTGGCCGGGAGAATCTGTCCTGCTTGCGGCCTGTGCACCCAGTCTCACTCCTTGGCTGTTATCTTCCTCTCTGCCGCCTCCGTCAGACAGGACGCACAGGTCCTGATCACCCTAGTGCCAGTGTTGGGGAAACAAAATGTGTTGACTTTAAGAAAAAAAGTTAATACACTTTATTTTTTATAGCAGCGTCAGGTCGACAGGACATAGCAGCTAGTATGGAGTTCCCATATGCCCTCCTCTTGTCCGTGTACTAAGTCTCCCCTATTATGAACACATTTCACATGTGTGGTGCATGTGTTAACAGCTGATGAGCCAATACTGATCCATGACTGTTCATTGGAATCCATGGTTTTCACTAGGGGTGACTCTCACACAGTTCCGTGGGTTTTGCCGAATGCGTGCTCACATGTGTCCCCCGTTACAGCATGCAGCGTGCCCACCGGTCTTTACCCCCTCCTCCCGTGCCCCTTCCCCCAGCAGCAGTTCTGACCCAGGCAGTGGGACCGGGCCCGGCCTGCGCTCCATCAGGTGCTCCCTGCCTGCCCGCCATGGGGGCTGATGGGAGCCTCCAGCCCGTGGGTTCTCTCATCTTGGCCCTGGGCTCTCTCTTTTTCTCACCAGCACAGTTAAGATGTTTGCATTTTTTCAGAAGGGAAAGAAGAGAGAAAGAGGAGAAACATCAGTGTGCAAGAGAAACATCAACTGCCTCTCGGGTGCCCCCAACTGGGCACCTGGCCTGCAACCCAGGCGTGTGCCCTGACTGGGAATGGAACCAGAAACTTTGGGTCTGGGGCCAGTGCTCAACCAACTGGGCAACACCAGTGAAGGCGACAATATTTGAACTTGGAATTATTTAAAAAACAGTACCACCAAAACCCGAAAAGACACCAGAGGTTGGGCTGCCTGTCACTACCAAACCCAATAAGCAGAGACAGGGATCGAATCTTTATGGGCGCTTTATTCAGATGGCCAGTGATCTGAAAAGATGACGAGTTCTTACCCTAACAGACAAATCTTCCCTTTTCTTTCCAGGCCAAGGTTTTTATAGCAGGGAATAAACAAGGTGTGGTGAGGGGTTTTAAAATTCAGTGAAAATTTAATTGGATTAAAAAAAAACAACGACTTCAACCTTCTTGTCCTGGGCGGTGATCTTCAGCTGTGTCCTGGGTGGTGGTCATCTCACCCTGGAGAACAATGACTCAGACAGCTCTTGAATTGCTTGCAGTCCTCCTGAGGCATAAAGGTGGAACTGCTTATGGTCTCCTGGAGTCAGGGTGGGGCGTACCTTCAGTTCCTGGAACAAAAGCTTTTATATGCATTGATTACTAAGCTTATTAGCTGTTACTTAGACTAAAATTTTCCAGCGCTTGAGTCCCCTCTCACCACTACAGGAATTGGTTAACTATTTGGGAAGAAAAAGCTAATGCGGTCATAGCATTGTACGATCTATCTTGATGTGTATGTGCGTGTATGTTTTAATCAAACTATTAATTAAAAAGGAGAAAATATTGGTGAATATCTAATTTTCTGATGGACAGAGACCAAGCTTAAAAGCAGTGAAAGAAACTACAAAGGAAATACAGAGATTCCACAATGTAAATATATTAAGTTCAACATTATAAAAAATCATAAGCAAAAGGGGAAAAACGCTAAGAAATATTTGCAACAAATTTGACATGCATCCCCCCAAATATCCTAAATTGGGATACACATTGGAACACATCTAAAGCGATAAAAACACCAATTTTTCTAGATACCAGATCAAAGGCTTTCATTTCATCCTTACCACAAACTTTTTTGATGCTTTAAAAAATAAAGAGAAAACAACTGAGGTTTGGTGGAGTTAAGTTCTAAAGGTTGTTTGGTGAACTTCGTTTTGAGTTCACATTCTTCCCCACAGCGTGGGTGGCTTTGGCGTTGTTTCCCTCGGAGCGTGAGCAGGCAGCCTTCGCCGGGTGCTGACGGCCCGGGGAATCGGGAATCTGTAAAGACACGGGTTTTACCCTGTAGGTTCTGCAATACTTTTAAGATGGTTCTAAAAGAAGCCCCTCAAAACATGGTAGTTTGGCCACTTGGGACTAAAGAGAACCCTTTGCTCACTCTGAGAGAGGTCTGGGTGTGTTGAATAGTGCGGGTGTCAGTGGCAGAAGCCTCACCTCCTTTGCACACACAGGGATCCTTAGCCACACGATTCCGAGTATAAGATAAAGTGAAGGTGAGCAGCAGGCTGGGTTTGGAGGACTGTCAGAAAGGAACCTGATGGTGGGGATGAGGGTGGGCATAGTGGAGAAGTGCCTGTCACATATGAAATATTTTGTAACATTTCATTGCCCATAAATGCTCTATGCAACCTGTTCAGTTCCTCGAGGCCTAAACTTACCGGCAGGCATCAGAGGAACCCTGCCTCAGATGTGCTGGACTAATTGAGCAAAAGCTGTCTCACTGGGGAACTCTGACAACTACATTTAGTGAACCAAGGGGCAGAAAGAGCAGGCACTCAAGGCCTGGGTGGGACTAGCTGCGTTTCCATAATTCCTGGCCGTGTGGTAGAATCCAGGGCCTGGGGAGAGGGGTGGCTGGCACCAGCCCATTGTGAAGGATTCGTGAGGCAACCCTGGGCTGTGGAGATGGGCAGTCCACAGTTCACCTCTGTCACCACATGACAAATGCATGGGCTTAGACAAGAACTTAATGTTTTTAACTTGTTCTCCATCATAAAATGGGGAAATTCATACTGTATTTGTTTGTTTTTTAGAGAGAGAGAGAGATTGATTTGTTGTTCTACTTAGTTATGCATTCACTGGTTGATTCATGTATGTGCCCTGCCTGGGGATGGAACCCATGACCTTAGCATATCGGGATGACGCTCTAACCAACTGAGCTACTTGGTCAGGGCCTCCATACTGTACTTTTTATTATAAAATGCACCGTCAGTTTATTAACTTTTGTACAAAACAAGGCAAACCATATGCACATTGAATGCAAGACAAAATTCAATTTTGGGTGTGTTAAATGTAGACAAAAATTCTCCTTAAAAGTAAAGAAATACCATAATTATTTTTCGGGCTTTTCGTGGGAACTAAATCTTATAAATGAAGATCCCTTGTCATGAGTAAGCACTGAAATGGTTTTCATTAATCTGATAATGGCCCTGGCTTGTGTGGCTCAATAGATTTGAGTGCCAGTCTGCAAACCAAAGGGTCACCGGTTCAATTCCCAGTCAGGGCACATGCCTGGGTTGTGGGCCAGGTACCTGGTAGGGGGTGCACGAGAGGCAACCACACATGAATGTTTCTCTACCTTTCTCCTTCCCTTCCCCTCTCTGTAAAAATGAATAAATAAAATCTTTAAAAAAATGTGCCAGGTGCTTTAAATGTGAAGAAGGTATTGTTATCCTTACTTTGCAGATGCGGCGACAGGGAGAACTTAAGGATCCTGCTTGATTTTGCTCAACCATACTGGGGGAAAGCCCCGGTCTGTCAGACCAGCAGTCACACAGCCTGAGAGCCAGCCACACAGCTGGGCAAGACCGTGCCGCATAGAGCATCAGCCACAGGAATGGGACCGAGTCACTTGTTCATTAGCAAGTAGGGATTTGTGTCCCCGGGGCTATGGAGATGGCTTCCTGAGTCCCAGTGAATAACAGGTTTTCTCTACCACGTGTCCAGTCTCTAAGGTTCTGTGTTTTCCCCTTCCCACTGTGTCCACATAGGGCCGGGAGACCAGCAACTTCTGGGAAACCTTGTCCTGGAGTACACGAAAGACTTGCCCATGGCTGCACCTGAGTAGACAGTTTTAGAGGTATAGGTTTCCAGATACTCAGCTTCCACACTCACCCTTTCTCAAACAGCCTGGGAAGTTTGCTTATAGGCGCAATAAATAGTTTCTCTGCTTTGTAAACAGAAGGCAACCCCGTCACCCACCCACCCACTTACTACAGGGCACTGGCCCCAGGGCGGAAACACCTCGTGGGCACCCCACGAAGGACAGCTGCTTTAATGATTAACCCAGGCTCTCTAACCCCAGGGGTTTCTTTCCTTCCCTGTTTCTGTGAAAGGCTGTCATGTTTTAAATTTAGAGCGATTGAAGCAGTGTAAGTTAGTGCGGCCATTCCTGACTTTTTGATTTCAGAACTCACACTTCTTTCCCCTAAGTCAAATAAGAACCTAAAAATGTGAATTCTTTTTTTTAAATTGAGGTATAATTGACACATCACGTTGTATTAGTTTCAGATGTACAACATGATGACCTCGTACTTGTAGATAAGACTTCTTTGCTCTCAAAAATTATTAAGGACTCTAAAGAGCCTTTGCTTATGTGTGCTCTATCTATCTGTCCATATTTAGTGGATTTGAAATGGGAACTGCAAAAACCCCACATTGTCTAACACTTTATTTTAAAATAAACTCATGACATGTTATAAATAATTTATGCAAAATAACTTCTTCTTTTAAAAGATTTTATTTACTTATTTTTTAGAGAGGAAAAGGGAGGGAGAAAGAGAGGGAAACAAACATCAGTGTGTGGTTGCCTCTCATGTGCCTCCTACTGAAGACCTGGCCTGCAACCCAGGCATGTACTCTAGACAGGGAATCGAACCGGTGACCCTTTGGTTCTCAGGCAGGCACTCAACCACTGAGCCACACCAGCCAGGGCAAATAATTATACTTTTCAAAATTGAAAATGTTTGGTGAGAATAACAGCATTTGTGTTTTTTGAAAGTCTCTCTAGTGACGGATTCTCTAATCCAATTCTTTCTTCAGCTGTTGCGATGTACTGCTTTGGTTAAAGTATATGAAGAAAATTCAGTCTCACACAGACCTGTAGTTGAGAAGAGAGGGGTATGTTAATATCTTTTTCAAATAACTTTGAATATTTTTCTTTGATCCTCTACCCAAACTGGATAAAATATAGTTTCTTAAAGATTAGTTGTGGTATCAAATATGAAACCGCATCCATAAAATTTTTGTACTTTTT